CAGCATGCTGAAAAGGCAATTATATTTTAACTGAAATGAATTATTCAACAGTGTTTTATCATCCAAAACTGGCTCCCACAGGAGATATGCTTGGAGTAGATCAAGCGATATCTACACTGTAGATATCGCTGCAATGAAATTACATCACAATGCTTTGCAGACCATTGTGACGTCACTGGTTACCATGACGTCACAATCAAATGACATCACTAATGGCTCTGCTACTGAAGCTGTTAGCAGTCCTTTTTACACTGAAGACACTGCTAATTACTGTCTACAATTTGAAAAAGTTGGAAGAATGATGTTGGATGATAGATAAAATCTCACCCGAGTGTCTTTTGATATCAAATATATCAACACTCGTTGATAAAAGTGGCAAAAATCATTGGCAAGCCTCGGAATTTTTCCACTTTTATCAACTCGTGTTGATATATTTGATATCAAAAGACACTCGGGTGAGATTCTCTATTTAATCGACACTACGTCGACCAGAGTCGCTGACCACCCGGCCATGTTTGTGTCTTTATTCCAATATTGTAAAGACCATCCTGTAAACAGGTACCTGAGAAGGTGGCGTGTCATCTGTAGACACTCATTCAGAGAACTGCGAGTTCTATTGGTTCATTTGTGAGTTTATTAAAAGTCAGATTGACCAGTCAGAGAGAGGAATTTTTGACCCCACATGAGCCCGTATACGGTAAGCCTTGCCCAATATTTTTTCTGCTAACCAAATATGACACCAGCTAATAATATTCACTTTGTGATTATGTCGGTGTCTATTTTGTGGTAACGTCTGAGACCTGCATTTAACCAAACTCACTCACTCACTCACTCACTCACTCACTCACTCACTCACTCACTCACTCACTCACTCACTGTACATTCAAAGGGGGTTGAAGTAACGTAAAATAATTGTCCCCCTGAGAAGGTATGTAAGTCCCATTTCATTCAAAGTATTTTTCATTTTCCATGATTTTAATTGTAGAATTCTTGTTGTTTTTTAATGATTTGGCTTAAACTAACTGACAATCACCAGTAGCCAGAGCGTAAATCCTGCTGGGTTACCATGTAGGTAGCAGAAGTATCGTAAGTCCCCATTGTACCTAGTATGGTGAACTACCTTTGGTTGTTGGTGATCTATAGCCCATTTTTATTGTATACTGTTATGAATTGTTGATTTTATGATGATATGCTAGTTTTAAATCTGCATCTGTGATAGTCTAGTGTTTTTACTGTTCTTTTTCCGAATGATTTTAATGTCTATATTATGTCTTACTAATGTACAACTTGATTTAGTCACAATATGGCTGAAATATTGCTGATGTGACTATAAATCTTAACTCACTCACTCACTCACTCACATTTGTTTATATTTGTGAATTGTCACACACTGGCCATGATGAACATTTTCTGTCACATTCCTCCTTTGAGTTGATGTACATTAAAACCTTGTTAATGTTTAATATAAGTAAGTTCATGGGGCGTCCTGATCAGGGAGTCCTGATCTAGTTCTTATACATATATGCTTGTTTCTAGATTAAATATCCCAGTACTATTTAGACAATGTTCGGTTAGTGAATGAACCCAAGGGTTCGTAGAATGAATCACTGAGCATGAACACTCGATCCATTTGGTCGCCTTTTAGAGACCCATACGTTGACAGGGTCTTATTCTAACACGGGGTTGTCTATCTCAGTACGGATGCCACAACTGAGACCTTCACACAAAGGTCGTAATATTTATAGAATGCTCCAATTCGTATGTTGTTTAAATATTGCCAAGTCATTTATCTATGTACACAAAAACAACAACGGGCACATATATAAACAAGTACATCGTATACTCAACCCCCCTAAGTGACTATGATGATATGCTGAACCGCAAAAGAAACGTCACCATGGATAGATATATGAGAAACCTTATTTGTCCAAACATTGTAAACATACTTCAAGACATATTAAAAAGATGAAACTTGGCAAAACTGATCATCAAGGTTGCAATAAAAGTGTCAAATGTTCTTAAAGTGGAACACAACACCAGTCTCAACATTGGTATCACAAGTCAGTATCTCGTGTGTTCTCGTAACAACACAAGCATCCGAATTATGTTCCCCACGGCGTCGCCAGGCTCTCTCTGACATCTGCTGTTGAGACACAGTAATGGCTCTCGTCTTAGAAGAGGACTCTTCTCCTCTGCTGGTGGCGCCAATCCTGGTGCTGTGTTGCCTACTGAAGACGATGGCGTCCCGGCGATGACATGGTGTCAGAATGGGTCCTTGGTGTGGCATGTGACAGTGTCTGCTCGTCAATCATCGACGCACGGTGTCCACACTAATGTGTCGCTGGTGTGTCCCCATGGTCTGTCGAGCAGTTTCCACATCAGTAACAAAGCGATGTCGCACAATCTGACGATCCTTACGTCGGGTGGTGACCCTTGGTCTTCCACTACGTGGTCGGTCATCTGTAGTGTTGGTGGTCTGGTACAATTGCTGGAGCCTGTATATGGTCCTTACGTGGACTTGAAATGCATTGGCTACTTGCCGGGCGGTTTGTCCAGCTTGCAATCGTCCAAGGGCTTGGTGTCGCTGATTTCTTGTCAATCTTGGCATGTGGTAGCAATTCTATAACGAATGAATCTTATCCGATCTGGGTGGATTTTTATAGGGCAAGAAATGGGGGAACGCATGTGCATTTCAATTTGCACGGAACTCACATGCATCGGCTTACCATAGCCGTTGCCATGATGCGTTTGGGCGATCGGTTTTATTGTCATCTGCTTTGGGGTTTTTTATCATCAAATTTCATTTTTCCGGACAAAGTAATGTTAAATTTTAGAAACTTTGACAAAAATTACACAGATATTTATTTAAATGACAACTTTTCATGCAATGTTACTTGAGATGACGTTTCTATTGCGATTCACTATTCATATTTATTGCTGAATATAATTTAAAATTAGCTGTACTATGGACTAATAAACATATGGTTATATTATTGATCAATCATTTATCGTTGTACACAAGACAACTTGTCAAAACAAAGCAAGGTCGTTTGTGCCATGTTAATCCTTCAAGAAGTGGACCACGCCTTGTTCCGTTGCCAACCGCTATACCTTATTATAAAATTAGGGATCAAAACAAACATTTCGCTGCACCCTTCTGCTCATTATCGCTGATGGCTGACAAACCAAGCAAATACTAAGATATGACATTCAAAACACAGCAGGCTCAGTGTGTTCTAAATCACTAATAACTAGGTAGAATAGTTATACTCTGTGTGGCTACATGGTGTTTATATGGGGGAATAGTTATACGCTGTGTGGCTGCATGGTGTTTATATGCCTAGATATCACCACCCTGACACGAGAAGAGCAGTGGAAATATCTGTCAATAGAGAAATGAGATAAATATAGGGCAGGATAAAGATACGAGCAACCAGTGAAGCTATTGACACATGCATAAAATAAGCATGCACTTCATTCCTATTAAGTTTAATGATTTTGAAAACTGATGGCATTCGGCGACCTTGAGGGGATCGAATGTTTTGGAAATGTTGGATTATTTTGCACGTAAGTGGACCATCTATATCTAAAGCCTTATAAGACATACAATAACCTTCGAGTGCCTGGATATTCGAGATAATATGTCAACAAAGGCGATATTGCTTGAGTACAGTACAACATTATATATTTACACTCACTACGTTTTATTATAATTTACTAAAAGAAATAATTGTTTGTCTTAAATAGAAAAGATATAAGTATGGAGTATAATCTCGAATGGTTGATAGGTTTTTCTCCGACATAATAGTGAGTGAGTGAATGAGTGAGTGAGTATGGTTTTACCCCGCTTTTAGCAATATTCCAGCAATATCACTGCTGGGGACACCAGAAATGGGCTTCACACATTGTACCCATGTCGGGAATCCAACCCGGGTCTTCGGCGTGACGAGCGAACGCTTTAACCACTAGGCTACCCGACTGCCCTAGTGAGTGAGTGAGTGAGATGGGTTTAACGCCGCTGTCATCAGTATTCCTGTCATATCACAGCCTGTCAGCATCATGTGGGAGGGAAGACCGATGTAATGTGGATTGTTGGCGTGGTGAAACCCACAAGCATGGCTATGATGCTGACAATTAATTAGGGCGAACCGGGACTCGAACCAACGATCCTGAGTTTCTGGCACACCTAAGGGATCCACAGCAGAATGTCTTGGAGCTCTATGTAATTAAATGTGATTTTTAATCTTATGCCTCTTTGTTTTTCATTGATTAGGTTTCCAAATCTCGGAGGAGATATGAGGTTAACTTGCCGTTTTGTCTCCTATCTTTATGGCGTATACAGAGACTCATACTCAGTGTAAATAGTTAGCAGTGATTGTTCGAAATAATAAGTTGTGCCGGTGAAAGCAAATACACAACTGGCCACTTTTTAAAACAGTTATGATATACTTTCATATAAAATAGCAATAAAATATTAACATGGAGAAGTGTGGTACTAAACATTTTTTTCCATATACAGTAAACTACGTTTATAACGAACACACTTATAACGAACTGACCGATATAACGAACTTATTTTTTAGCCTCAACCATTTGTTGTATATATTCTGTATATATACTTATAACGAACTATGGTTATTACGAACTAAAATTAGAAATCCCTTCGAGTTTGTTATAGCCGTAGTTTACTGTACTAGTATATGTTTACGTATTTGACTTTTGATTGTGGAAGGGTCCATTTCACCTTAACTCCACACCAATACTAACACCCACATCAAGGTTCCCCCATTTGTTATAGCCGTGTTTTGCACAAGAAGCAGTACAGTCGAACTGCTGATTAACATCCCATGACTGACCGTTATCACCCGATGACGGGTAATAGTTGCCAACATAACTGTTGATGGTGGTCGTTAATGAGGCTACGTGGAGAAGCTCTACAGTCGTTTATGTTAATATGTTACACATAATTGGGACTTTGATCGTATAATGATCAATAATACATTGGAATAAATAGTTGGCTTTGTACAGAATCCAGATGAACCCCACGTCGCTTCAAGTGAAACCTCATAATCTAAATATAACTTTTTTTGTTCTTGAGCCAATCAGATGTCACTTTTCTGAAATGATTCGGTTTCTCTTCGTTAGCCACCATGATTAATAAACTATTCCCTTGCAAGGACATCTTCTGGTGTTGATACCGTGGTGATCACCAGTCACAGGTGTAAAACATTTCCACCACAATGTGGTAGCCATCTTCCCCATTTTCATCAACAGAGAATGTATTGTCACATTGATATCTACGTTTATATTAAGGGTGTACTATGCATTCTACCCAGTTGGACTCCTAACCTTCCAGCCACCTCTAGTATTAAGGGTGCACTATATATGCATTCTACCCAGTTAGACTCCTAACCTTCCAGCCACCTCTAGTATTAAGGGTGCACTGTGCATTCTACCCCGTTAGACACCTAACCTTCCAGCCACCTCTAGTATTAAGGGTGCACTATATATGCATTCTACCCCGTTAGACTCCTAACCTTCCCGCCACCTCTAGTATTATTGTGTACTATGCATTCTACCCAGTTCGACTCCTAACCTTCCAGCCACCTCTAGTATTAAGGGTGCACTATGCATTCTACCCAGTTCGACTCCTAACCTTCCAGCCACCTCTAGTATCAAGGGTGGACTATGCATTCTACCCAGTTAGACTCCTAACCTTCCAGCCACCTCTAGTACATACCATCAACAATGACTGCTGTACAAACATTACATGTTGATGAAAACATTATTATTTCTTTCTTCCATTTTCAGATTAACGAAAGAAGCTTTGAAGCATGTAGCATCTCCAGGCAGATACAAAACATCCCCCTTGAACGTCAGCACTGCATTCTCATGGAATAGACATAGAATCTACAATCTATAGGTGAGGTGAGGTTAGGTTAGGTGAAATGACGTGCTTGCACGTGTGTGTGGCGGCTTGTACTAGTCCGGACAAATAAGCCCACTGAGATACCATGCCGCAGTTTAACATGAATATCCTACTCAGACACAGTATACTGACTCCGAGCTGACCAGTCCTTGTTTTATCCCCTTAAGGCCGAGCGCCAGGCAGGGTAACAACAAGTACGGAGATAACGAAGGATTTTGGGGGATTTTGGTGTTGGGGGTGTGGGATTGGCCAGCTGTTATGAAAAATGATTATCATAAGTACTAATAAGCCAAACGGAGAGGGCAGTTGAGGATATCACGCAACTACAATCTTTCTAAAATGTTTGCCTATCTGCAGTGGTGCCAAACTCTATATTAAGAGAATAAAGAAGATCCGCATTTGGGGAAATATTTGTACTAATTTTTATGTCGTGGGAGCATAACAGATGGTAAGGTTGTCATTGTTCTGTTATTACGCAGGTTGTGGGTGAAAAGTTCATACCCTGTTATCATCAACAAGGGGTTACTAAGAGTCATTACGCTGGATCAAGTCGATATCTGTCTACTGCTTCATGCTACTGCCCTTTGTTTCATGGTTGCATCAGTGTCCCGGGTAACCACACGTGACGTCTCGTGTGCACTGATAGGCCGATTAAAGGAACAATTGGTGTGTTTCATGGTTACATCAGTGTCCCGGGTAACCACGCGTGACGTCTTGTGTGCACTGAAAAGATGATTAAAGGAACAATTCGTGTGTTTCATGGTTGCATCAGTGTCCCGGGTAACCACGCGTGACGTCTCGTGTGCACTGAAAAGATGATTAAAGGAACAATTCGTGTGTTTCATGGTTGCATCAGTGTTCCGGGTAACCACGCGTGACGTCTCGTGTGCACTGAAAAGGCCGATTGAAGGAACAATTCGTGTACACATTAAAGACACTTAAGATAGATAGTTGTAATGTTAAAGGATGAAGTATGGAAAACATCAATAAAGCACAATAGAACCAATTCCAGCATGTAGGTTCACAGGATTACTGGAAGAGCTATTACAAGGCAGGGTATTGAGCACGATAGATTTACAGAATGTTGAAGGTCATAGACCACCCGAACGACCTTGTGACATAGTTTCCGTATGTTCCATGTATACTTGTCGCTTGATCATGATTGAAATAAGAACATTGCAAATGTAATTTAATATGACGGAAAAGCCTGCCACGTGTTTGTTTTAGGACATTTACATACTGTGTTTTGAATGGATGTGCTTGTGACGTTACCGGTGATGGCAGGATACGCTCACCCTTTCGTGACAATATCATAGGCATGTGTTTATGAATCACTTTCAAATAGTGATGATATCAGGTGTGCACGAAAAAATGAGTGTCTCATGTCCCACTGATGGCACCATCACAAACACATGCAAGGGCAAGTCAATTGTTCACCTGAAACAAACAAGGGAACATATGGTACGGTAACGTCTATGGACACAGTTATGGACATGGGTATTCTGAAGTCTACGGACACAGGTCATGCTGAAGTCTACGGACACAGGTTATGCTGAAGTCTATGGACATGGATATGCTGAAGTCTACGGACACAGGTTATGCTGAAGTCTATGGACACAGTTATGCTGAAGTCTATGGACATGGGTATTCTGAAGTCTACGGACACAGGTTATGCTGAAGTCTATGGACACAGTTATGCTGAAGTCTAGGGACACAGGTTATGCTGAAGTCTACGGACACAGATTATGCTGAAGTCTACGGACACAGATTATGCTGAAGTCTGCGGACAAAGGTTATGCTGAAGTCTACGGACACAGATTATGCTGAAGTCTGCGGACAAAGGTTATGCTGAAGAGTATGGACACAGGTTATGCTGAAGTCTACGGACACAGATTATGCTGAAGTCTACGGGCACATATTATGCTGAAGTCTGCGGACAAAGGTTATGCTGAAGTCTATGGACACGGGTATGCTGAAGTCTACGGACACAGGTTATGCTGAAGTCTATGGACACGGGTATGCTGAAGTCTACGGACATAGATATACTGTAGCTTTCAGGTATGGTGCTGGTGCGAAGCTTGGATTAGAGTCCACGATCATGGCCTGTTTCTGGCAGGACCACGGGAGTCAGCAACATACCTAATTGCACTGCCATGAGTATGGATCTTTGTGTTGGACAGATGCAAAATCTCACTGTGCCTTTTGAAATTGTGTTCAATTAATCTACGATTACTATAAATGTGTGTACATTATTGACATGTCTTCTGTTGTTTCCTATAGAAAATAGGTCATCAACATGTCCATGTGGCAAGGACATACCTGTAGGAAAGGAATGCTGACATTTACAAGGGTATTAACGCTTCTAATAATAATGAAAGGATATGGACAAGGGTATGGATGGAAACGGGAATGGACACGTTTAATTAACACAGCAAGCCTGTAGACATGGGAATGAACCAGAGTATGGACAAGAGTATTGACATGGACAAGGGTATGAACCGGAGTATTGACATGGATATGGACAAGGGTATGAAACAAAGTATGGACAAGATATTTGACATGGACATGGACAAGGGTATGAACCAGAGTATGGACAAGCCTTTGACATGGACAAGGATATGAAGCAGTATGTGGACAAGAGTTTGACATTGACATGGACAAGGGTATGAACCAGAGTATGGACAAGCCTTTGACATGGACAAGGATATGAAGCAGTATGTGGACAAGAGTTTGACATTGATATGGACAAGGGTATGAACCAGAGTATGGACAAGCGTTTGACATGGACAAGGATATGAAGCAGTATTTGGACAAGAGTTTGACATTGATATGGACAAGGGTATGAACCAGAGTATGGACAAGCGTTTGACATGGACAAGGATATGAAGCAGTATGTGGACAAGAGTTTGACATTGATATGGACAAGGGTATGAACCAGAGTATGGACAAGCGTTTGACATGGACAAGGATATGAAGCAGTATGTGGACAAGAGTTTGACATTGATATGGACAAGGGTATGAACCAGAGTATGGACAAGCCTTTGATATGGACAAGGGTATGAACCAGAGTATGGACAAGAGAATTAGACCATATGTGGTCAAGTTATGGACAAGGATATGAATTAGGGTATATCCAGGCCATAGACAATTCTAAGGGAAATGATGTTGACAAAGGTATATGAACAAAGATGTTTACATACAGAAGGATCTGAACAAGAGTTGATAAGGGTATGGACAAGTGTATGGACAAAGATATAAATGTGGCTCTTTTCTTAAACAGTGATTCAGTTGTATCACAAGCAGTGACTGCGCTAACGAGAGGCATCGACTTAGCTACTTGAGCTGCTCAGACGCTCTGCGTTAACAAAAGGCATCGACTTGGGTACTTGAGCTGCTCAGACGCTCTGCGTTAACAAAAGGCATCGACTTAAGTACGCGTGCTGTCCAGACGCTCTGCCTTAACAAAAGGCATATGATTTTCGAGAGGACCATCTCTTCACCTTCTTTAAGAATATCTTCTTCATCAACAAACACGTTAACAACATAGATAAATTTAGCTGAACTGAGTGAAGAGGCTCAATTCCAGTGAATCCCGGTGAAGACATTAGCACAAACAGAACATGACAAATACCCCTGCCCCCACAAATCTGACTTACTTTAAGTCCAACTTGATGAGAGCATTTCTGTATAATATGTCTGTCCGTATAGAAGAGTAGATGTTGAGCTATCAAAACTTGGATTCGGAACTTTGTTTTTATATGTCAGGTACACACCATTATGACAGTCAAAATTAAACCTGTTGCCATGGACGCAGTAAAAACCAACAAATTCTAAAAATACCTAATTAGCAAAAGACAGCAGTTGACAATCTGGTATTTGTGTCTGCACAGTTTCAATTGCAATCGAGAGCACCTTTAGTTTTAGAAATATGGTCCGCACAAACACCACTATGAACAGAGACAAAGTCAAGCTTCTTGCAATGGTAACGGAAAAAAATATAAATTCTAAACACAACTAAGTAGCAAAAGGCACCATTTGACAAGTTGATCTGTGTGTGTGCACAGTGTCCTGAAAGAATACCTACTAGTTTGAGAGATATGGTCCGGCCAAACACACCACTATGAACAGAATCAAAGTTGATGCACTGGAAAAATGAACAAAATGATAAAAAAAATTCTAAATTGCAAAAGGCACCACTTCAGCCCAGGTTTCAATGAAAAGTCTTTCACAGTTTTCCACTACAGATACCCCCACATTTGAGACTAAGTTCAAATTGTTTCTATGGACATCGAGAAAAAGAAAATACAGTAATTTACGCTTATAACGAACGCAAAGGGACCACTATTTTTTGTTCGTTGTATCCGTTGTTCGTTATACACATTTCGACCGTCTGACATCTTTTATCAAGTCATGTGACTTCATATTACTCGACTAATAACAAAGGTGTGCTCTGTACATGTACAGAATATATCCAGTTCAATCACTGTGCTACTATTGTTAATTGAGGGTGTATTTTAAGAACATGGTGTCAGTACTTAAGAGTAAATCAATTGCCTTCAGTTGTTTATTGACGCGTCGAACAGCAGCGCTTGGCCGCGGATGTATTGACAGGCAGATGGATTACACGTGAGGAGCTCAGCTCAGGAATTAACTGTTTGTTATACACTTGAACATTATCGTTGACATACGGGACGACAAGATGGGTTCATAATATCAGTTATTTAGTTATAAACATGTTCGTTATATCCGTCAACTTCATTTGATAAAATATATGGCAAATGGCTGGCACCAATAACCCACACATTTTTGCTGAAAAACAAAAGAACTGTGTTAAAGTTACGCCCCGGAAACGAAATGATTATTGACGGACGGGCAGACGAGGCGTCGACTATATCCCCCCACATTATATATGCCGGGGAAGAGAGAGAGAGGGGTGTGTGTGTGTGTGTGTCTGTGTGTGTGTGTGTGTGTGTCTGTGTGTGTGTGTGTGTGTGTGTGGATAACAGTGTGACGCAAAATTATTGCACTCACTGTCAAAACCTTGCTCATGTTAACATTTCTAGTTTTCGTATGGGCCACCACACTCCCTCCCAGCATTAGTCGAAATAAACACAGTTAAACAAAATTATATTAAGCAAAAATAATTTCCAATATACCTTTTCTCCATTTTTGACAGGAAGTCCACTGGCCACCATGTACGCATCGCCAATTGTCTCCACTTTGTACACGTCGTATATGTCGATACGGGAGTCAAACAGAGAGTACAGATTGTTCAGCATCTCAACAATCTGCATCGGAGTGCATCGAGCTGAGATGGTCGTAAACCCAACAATATCCGAGAAAAATATTGTGGACGAGTCAAACCACTCTGCACTGACACTTTCTTTGTTCCTCAACTTATTGGCCACAGAGATTGGTAACATTTGATACAACAGATTCTCCGTCATCCGTTTCTCCTCGTTAAGTTCATTGGTCTTTTGCTCTAAGCTTTTTGAATAGTCGTAGATCCAGTCCGCCATTTTCTTAACTCTGCATGATATTCCAGCAGCCATACCCAAAGCCACAGCACACGCAATGCACCACAATATAACACGTCTAGTCAATGAACCTACTTCCTCAGACTGCAAGGAAAGTAAATATCGTTCTAAACTATGTTTTGAAGTCAGAATGTGTAAACAAGCTGTTTTCCGGATGTCATACACCTCAATGGATGTTAAGTTACCCAGGAAACAATCGTATTCAAAGTTACCAAACAAATTCAATAGAATTGCATTCAGAGTTTCTGATTCTCCTTTAACCAACTCCCTGAGGGTGCCTAGAGATGATAACAATAAAGACTTGGCTGTTGTAAGCTGTGTACTTGCGGTGGAGGTAGTACGAAAAGTCAAACATGATGCCAATTCTTTATTGACGGCGTTAAACATGGTTAGAAGTGTCTTGTATGTTGCAGGTATTGTCCATGGAAGAAATGTGGCGTCAGAGAAACAAGGCATATAGGAAGCCGTTGCATCCGTGTATGCCTGGTGAAATGCATCAGTACTATTCGTTGTGTAGTAGTCTCTGTTAGACAGGGCGTACATCGTCCTACACTGTGAGCGCTGGTTCACATTTGCTATCCTGTTACACACAGTGTCACTTGCAACCAGAAAGGAGACGTTTTGTAAACTGTCACATTCAATGTTTCCACTTGAACAATTGTTAACACTAAATATATAGTTGTAATCACGCGACATGGAAATGTTGTCCAGTATTTCCACGACGTCAAAGAAGGTTTGGAAACAGGATACCTGAAGTGAACATTTGCCCAGTGCGGAACCATCGGTCGCCATCTCGATGACCAGTACCACAACGATCACCAGGGAACACAAGATACAGATTGCAAGTATCTTGTGAACTCGAAACCTGTTTCCCTCCCACGAAGAGAAGAATTGGTCTTGTGCGGATATCTGTCTGAACTGGGGATCTGCATATGCTTTGTTTTTGTTTAGCTTTGCGTCAAGGCTGTCCGCCGGTTTGATCTTGTTTCTGGACATCGTCATCATGGCTGTCTGGCAACAGTCCATATCGAGGCCACCTGAAAGTCAGAATTAAAAAATATAAATACTGCATGGACAATGAAATAGAAACCTGGCATGAAATGCTTTGTACATTGTAAACACTGTTATCTTTTGTCAGTACTTATACCCTTCAGTGGTGGCACGGGTGGCCGAGTCGACTAAGGCGCCGCGATTCGCTGTGCAGAGTTGCGTCCCTTGGGCGTGCCAGAAACCTATGATTGTGGGTTCGAATCCCAGTTCGCCCCGATCATGTTTCTAGGTTTGTCAGCACCATACCCGTGCTCGTGGGTTTCACCGAAGTGGTAAACGTCTGAGTCCTGCATCACTTCGGGCTTTCCTCCCACATTAAGATGACACGCCGCGATATAACTGGAATACTGTTAAAAGCGGCGTTAAACCCAACTCACTCACTTAAATGATAGCTATTTCGAAATTTAATAACACTGTTGAGATAATAAGGTTTCACATAAGTCACTCACTCATTCACATAAAAAGGTATTAATTCTGTACTGTAACTGTACTGTACCTGTGCTATAACTCATATAACTGAATACTCCTATAAAGCTTCAAAGAGACTTTTCTATGAAAACCTACGACATGGGTGGCCCAGTCGTCTAAGGCGCCGCGATTCGCTTTGCGGAGTTGCGTCCCTTGGGCACGCCAGAAACCTATGCTTGTGGTTTCGAATCCCGGTTCGCCTCGATTATGTTTCTAGGTTTGTCAGCACCATACCCGTGCTCGTGGGTTTCACCGAAGTGGTAAACGTCTAAGACCTGCATCACTTTGGGCTTTTGCCCACATTAAGATGACACGCCGCGATATAACTTAAATACTGTTAAAAGCGGCGTTAAACCCAACTCACTCACTCACTCGCTCACTCACTCACTCACTCTTTTCAACATACGACTGTCTATTTCCCCCCGGATATTTTCACAAATATATATGTACTGTGTCACCTACAGGCAGCTACATGTTCATTGACCGCCTCCGTGGCCTAGTGGTAGAGCGTCCACCCATAGTGCGAAAGGTCCGGGTTTCGATTCCCGGCCACATAATACCAAAAGACGTTAAAAGATGGTACTTGTTGTTACCCTGTCTGGCGCTCGGCATTAAGGGGCTAAAACAAGGACTGGTCGGCTGTGAGTCAATATACTGTGTCTGAGTGGGGTGTTCATGTTAAACTGTGTCATGGTTTCTCAGTTGGCTAGCACTATAAATATATAATTTCTTTCTTTGGAGGGACGAATTAGAACGAAATTATTTTCACCTAACGTCGGAAAGCACAACAAAGGGAGGCAACTGAGTTTCGTAAGGGGTATACAAGTAAAGGCGGGAAGTTGAAACTTCATTCTCAGGTGCGGTGCAGTCGGGCTGGCTATATTGAACATGTTCGGTTATCTATGATGCCGATTGAAGTACAAGTCGGTTGAATCTATATTTATTATTTTTTAATGTGTATTAGTAGCTGCTGTTGTCCTTATGATGATCAGGATGTTGTGCGTTGTTTGCAAGTTGTGCTGGCGAGCCATGATTATACGTTGTGAGATGGATCGGTATCCATAGTTGAAATCTCGAACACTCCGGTCGTGAGAGTATGGATTTGGGATATACTCTGATGAGTAAACGCTGACGTGCCATTAGAATACGTGGTAGGGCGTCGACGCCTTTGTATTTGTATACGTTGGAAATGTGAAGCATCGGATTCATGTAAATTACGATGTGTTGATGGCCATGATGCTGGTGATGTTCCTGATGCGGACGATGTTCCTGATAATGTGGATATGTGTTAACGAATAAACTGCGGTCACTCAGTGCACCGCACGGTATCCCAATATGTTGTAGTTGTGTATTTTGTTGTGTTAAGGGGGAGAAGGAGGAGAACGGCATCAGTCCGGACCCGTACAAGCAGACACACACACACGTGCATGCACATCACTATGTAAGTGCAATAATCTCGGACGCGACGTTAAACCCCATTTGGGGGCACGGATGGCCCAGTCTAAGGCGCCGCGATTCGCTGTGCAGAATTGCGTCTCTTGGGCACGCCAGAAACCTATGATTGTGGGTTCGAATCCCGGTTCGCCCCGATTATGTTTCTAGGTTTGTCAGCACCATACCCGTGCTCGTGGGTTTCACCGAAGTGGTAAACGTCTGAGACCTGCATCACTTCGGGATTTCCTCCCACATTAAGCTGACACGCTGTGATATAAATGGAAAACTGTTAAAAGCAGCGTTAAACCCAACTCACTCACTCACTCACTTAAACCACATTTTACCTCACCTATATGTTCATTAGTACTACAACTGCGATAGAAATGCCACGTTTTGCTAAATAGTATATAGATTAACGGGTCTAAACAGCACTCATTTAATCGGTTCCATTCATTTGTGTCGGATTAACGAGTGTCGGATAAACGAGACTTGACTGTATGTAGTAAGCGGAACCAACTTCGTCACAATTATATTAGTAATACATGGCTTTTCTCTACTTAGAAGGCTGTGATCAGATAGTAATTACAGATTTAAGTTTAAACATGACATGAATGAGTTCTGTTCAGTTTGCCTTGGAGGAATACTATCTTCCTAATTCTGTAATACACAATTTAAGACGTTGCCACTGAGTAAGACGTAGTTTTGTCTCATTAAATATTCAACACAAAAGATGCACAAGTTTTGTTTGTTTGTTTGTTGTTTAACGCCGCACTCAGCAATATTCCAGCTATATGGCGGCGGTCTGTAAAATAATCGAGTTTAGACCAGACAATCCAGTGATTGACATCATGAGCATCGATCCACGCAATTGGGATTGATGACATGTATCAACCAAGTCAGCGAGCCTGACCATCCGATCCCGTTAGTCGCCTCTAACGACAAGCATAGTCGCCTTTTACGGCAAGTTTGGGTTTCTGAAGACCTGTTCTACCCCGGATCTTCACGGGTCGGATCCACAAGTACAAACAAGTAACCCAAGTGTGTGATTTAGGAAAAAATGCGCCATAAAGAATAATTAAGAGCTTTTTACGATTCATAATTGCATAGACATATAGCATCGCCTCGCCAAGGGTCAATAGATGCATGCCATGCTCAGAGGGTCATATAACCCCCTTTCTCTCGAAATTGATTTTCCCCAACGTAGCTGTTAGACCTTAAAGCAGTGACCTTCGGTCTTAGCGTGGGCCATAATACACTATAGTGAGTGAGTGAGTATGGTTTTACACCGTTTTTAGCAATATTCCAGCAATATCATGGAGGGGGACACCAGAAATGGGCTTCACACATTGTACCCATGTCAGGAATCAAACCCGGGTCTTCGCCGTAACGAGATAACGCTTTAACCACTAGGCTACCCCGCCGCCCCTACACTATAGTGCCAGACATACGTTGCCGTACATGTACCTGTACGATGTATGCAGAGTCTGTGAGTAAATATTGATGTCGGCCGCAGTAGCACTGCTGCAGCTATAGAAGTCTTCGATGGAAGGGGAAGTGTATGGAGATCTGTCATTTCCTTGTTCTCATTGTTTTCTTCTGAGTGATGTACACGGATGTCTTCCCCTGAGGCGTGTTTTAATGAACTCTTTTCAGTTATTTATTTGCATTGCTAAAAAACTGCAATTTGGATCAGCAGAACATTGATTATATAATAATGGTGCAAGAAACGTGTTCAGCCCGCTATTATGGCGCTAATTAGATTATCTATTACGACCTGTAAACGCCATTCGAGGTTTAAAAATATGTGATTCATAGACTTGCTTTTCATTATCTGAAGTAAAGAAAAATTACATTTGTATGAATAATATCATTTACTTTACCTTATAATCAGGACCCTATTTCCAGATATTCTACCTATAATAATAACGTGCGTACTTATATTGCGCTAGCTTCCATTCACTCGTTGCATGCTCAAAGCTCAAAGATATACTCAGCAATATTCCAGCTTTATGACGGCGGTTTGGTAGTGAGACAAAAAAATCTCCTAACATGATTAGTTGGTTGGTTTGTTGTTTAACGCCGCACTCAGCAATATTCCAGCTATATGACGGCGGTCTGTAAATAATCGAGTTTAGACCAGACAATCCAGTGATTAATATCATGAGCGTCGATCCACGCAATTTGGATACGATGACATGCATCAACCAAGTCAGCGAGCCTGACCACCCGATCCCGTTAGTCGCCTCTCACGACAAGCATGGGTTGCTGAAGACCTATTCTACCCCGGATATTCACTGTCCTCCTAACATGGAACAATAGCGTCGTCCCAACGGTAACCGGAAACCCAGTCGAGTCACAATTTGTATATTCCCGTACATATTCACATTATTGTTTGTTTGTTTGTTGTTTAACGCCACACTCAACTACATTCCGGCTATATGACGGCGGTATGTAAGTACTCGACCAGACAATCCAGTGATTAATATCATGAGCATCGACCAACGCAATTGGGATACGATGACATGCATCAACCAAGTCAACGAGCCTGACCACCCGATCCCGTTAGTCGGTTGCTACGACAAGCATAGTCGCCTCTAGATCTTTCAACAATCATGGGTTGCTGAAGACCTATTCTACCGGATCTTCACGGATAAGGAGAGAAAGAGTAGCACAAACCAAGAAATGATCAGACCCTGCGAAGAACGGATGTTTTTTTTAACATCGTTGTTTCCAACCCTTGTAATAATCCAATCCAGAACATGGCCATGATGATGTGGTTGTTCACTACAGTAGACTACGGTTATAACGAACTCAAAGGGACCACTAATTTTATTTCGCAATAACCGTAGTTCGTTATGAGCATATTTACAACAAATTTCTTGGACTAAAATTAAGTTCGTTATATCAGTCAGTTCGTTATAAGCGTGTTCGTTATAAACGTAGTTTACTGTATTTTGTATAGACCTTTGAGTTTACATCACTTTGCATAGTGAAGTGTTCAGGGAATTCCCGGAGTGGTCCACATGGTCATAAACAGCGCCAAGACTCATTAGGGCGTTTCCTTCACATATTCATTACCTAT